TTTCTGGATTGGATAACTTTGGCTTGCTTCATTTTTCCCAAGAAATAGCCCAAATGATTGTACAATTAGACATCATATTATTTATAAACAATTATAAGTTTCCCTTAGAGATCCTATGTTCCAAATGAATAACAAATTGATGAAAAGCAGGAAGACAAAATAAAAAGGCAGCAAGAAGCCAAGATACATTTATTAGATATGGTGCTTACTTTTGTGCTTAGCAACGATGGCTAATTTGATGTTTTGTTAGTTGAGTTTGGTTTGAAGTTTCTTAGAGTTCAACTTCAGTATCTCCTGCTTCTGATCTTGGCAAATATTTTACCAACATACTAAGAAAAAAACTCCAGCAAACTCCTCTTTCCTCCCCCAGCCTCCAGCCTTCATCTTTCTCCTCTGTATTTTGTATGTTATTCTCTGTCCTGTTAAAGAGTGAGCAGGTGAGATTCTTGGCCCCTCCTTGCCCTCCCCTCCACCAGTTGCAAAGCTGTGAACAATTAAGATGCAATATGGCTTCCAGGGGTTATATCAGATGCTCAGTTAATCATGGCATCAGGATTCAAATATTTAGGATTGTCCAGAAGAGATCTGTGGGTGACTGAAACACCAGTCTTCTGAATTCTGAGTCATCTCCCTGGAATGGAATACGCATTGTAAATATGTTCACACCCTCCCAATCTATCTCAACTGCTAGAAGTTGTCTTGAACAAAGCAGGTATTGCCTTGCTTTGGCCCTCAGGTTTTCCTTCCTGAAGACAGAATTTTCTCAGTGGGAAGACTCAGACATATTTGCTAAAACCTCTGAACCATCAGGAAGTTTTAAAAAAGGTCTCTCTTTCTGCAGTCCACCTATTCCAGCATGCAAAAGCCATAGCTAAGCTCTAAGTTAGAGTTTTCTTCCACCTTTCCAGCTATATTGCAAAATATAAGATATGTTTTTTAGTAATGAATTGAAATACTGGCGGTTGGCATTGATAGCTAATATTCCTTTACTTATGTGCATCAACCTATTCAGATTTATGTAGCCATTTTGCCCTTGGGATGCCACCTTCTTACCACTTTGTTTCTGGATTGCCTCCCTGTGGCGTAATTTAACTTGGGCTTCAATAATAAAATGCATTATAATTTAATATGGGTGGGTAAAATAAAAAATAGTAAAAATTATATTGAAAGCAAAGTATTTGCATTATTCATCATTGTTTTACAATTGTTTTCTCCGTTGAGTTTATTGCCTGATAAATATTTACATATAGTTTAACTATGTGTGTGTACACATATATATACTTAATAGCCACTCTTTCTTTTTTCTTTTTTTTTTTTTGAGAGAGAGCACGAGCTCAGTGCAGGGGGAGGGGCAGAGGGAGAGAGAGAGAGAGAGAGAATCTTAAGCAGGCTCCACACCCAGCACCAGCTCGATCTCACCACCCTGAGATCATGGCCTGAGCTGAAATCAAAAGAGTCAGAGACACCCAACCGACTGAGCCACGCAGGCATCCCTACTTAGCAACCACTCTTATGGGTTATTACCCTTACTTTGGCATTACAATCTCAGTCCTAAGAGATATTTGAAGGGGAAAAAAGTGTCTGGGGGGAGGATGTTGAACAGATCAATGAAATTATACAGATAATCAGTAGTCGAACCAGGACTGGAGTATATTTTTGTCCTTCAGTTTGCTCCTTAATACACCCTCACTGATCAAGGTAACCCATTACCCAAAGTAAAATAAAACCAAACACGCCATTCAAGGGGCATTTACTGTTCTCCACTGCTGATTTTTTTTTTTAAAGATCGATCGATTGATTGATTGAGAGAGTAGAGGGAGGGCCAGAAGGAGAGGGAGAGAGAATCCCCAGCAAACTCCACGCTGAGCATCGAGCCCAACACATGACCGTAAGATCATGACCTGAGCCGAAACCAAGAGTTGGACACTCAACCAACTGTGCCATCCAGGCGCCCCTCACTGCTGATTTCTTTTCCCCAGAATTCAACATCATCCTCTGTATAATATATCATTTCTCTGCCCTATGATAGCCGGGTCTAATTAGCTTTGCCCGTGGGTTTTGTTTGTTTGTTTTTGTTTATTGATTTGTTTTCAGGTCTATGCAGCGGCATCTTGGCAAAAACCCTTATTATTATTGTTATTAAACTTCACTGGAGCTTACTACAAGGCAGGTTTGAGTCTGATGTAACTCTGTCCACCTGTGTTCTGTACAAAGTTCTCCTGGCTAGAAAACCTTATTACATCTGACTTGGTTTCGCCAATAACATTTTCTCCAACATGTGCCCAAAGGCAATACTAAAGAGAGGTTCCCGGAACTACTTATAAACTTGTTTTGAGAACTGAGTATGACCTCCCCCAAGCCTCATCTAATCTTATCATGGAAAGGGAAGCAAAACTTGTCAAGGTTTAAGTTCCTTTATCTGTCACATAAGGGAACTAGGCTACATGACATTAAGATCTTTTGAACTCCATGAATGCTGATTCTTACTTTCTGTAATATTTTAAGACCATACAGCCACAGAAATGGGATGTATCTTTAGAGATTTATTTTACACACTTGCTTCTAATGAGATTTCTCCCTTTCAGAAGAGCTTATTTTCCCTATCCCAAACTCCTTACTCAGGGTAGTTAGAAATGGCTTTATATATATCAAATAATCCACGGAACAGTTCATTTCCTATGAAATAAAGCAAGAACCCAGACCTGGAACTTAAGTGTCTTTCTTTGGGCTTCCGAAAAAGTTAGAGCGAAGTCCAAATTTGCAATGTTTCCAAGGTCAATGCTAAATGTTTTATTTTTATATAATGTTGGACATAACACTGGTCAGATGATCATTCTCCCTCCTTTGTTTGGTGGCTAGAGAACTAGATCTGACTTGTCATTTACATTTCTTGTCAATGTGATGCAAGAATTGTGTCCCCACATGAGTCAGTCTATAATGTTTACTGAGTGAAAAATAGCTACGGCTTTCAAAGGTAGGAGTATCAGGAAATAGAATGGACATAGAAGATATATATCCCTTCTGGGCAGCTTTCGATCTCATAAAAAAAAAAATAGAGACAGACATGTTTACTTTATCTAAACTGTAGAAATTCACAATTACACGCAGTAGTTAGTGACATTATACAAAATTAATACTGTGTGACAGGGTGTGGTTATTAGAGCAACTGAGACTGGTTGGGGTGAAGAAAAAAAAAATCCTTTTTTGAGCAGTGTGAGTTTTAAAGTGAGGGAGGGCTGTGTGGAGAGGTGGGAGAAGGGGGGCAATCTGGGGCAGAGGAATGGTATATGGTATGACTCAGATAGGTGTGAGTATGCGGAGAATTATAGGTGATTCAATTTAGAAGGGATGGTAAAATTACCTTTCAGTGTTTGATATCTTATTAACTCTCATTCATGTACTCATACGGTAAATACTAAGTACCTACTATGTAACATTTATTGTGCTCGATGTCATGTAACTACCTAGAAATATCGTTACTGCAATGACGAATTCCAAATAAACATCCTCCCTTTTTTTTTGCAGATTTTAACGTGTGTATTTCTACAGTTTGTTTTTATTAAAAGCGTTGTGAAAAAGGAATCCTATAAATAGTAAAAAGAGGGAAATAATAGTGCTCCATAGCCTGAAGCAAACGGTGTAAATACATTTGTAAACAAGGTAAAGTTGCTGAGCTTACTAAAAGGACAAAAATTAAACTAGTTACAGATAGCACAATTGTTTAAGAGGTTAGGAAGTGTTTTGTCCCAAGTTTTGGTGCTCTAAAATGGCCAGCAGTATAGTAATTCTCATTCTGTAGCCTTGATCATCTGTGCCTTCTCTCTTCCTATAGAAAACCACACTGGATGAAACAAGCACTGGCTCTCTACTGTTTTGAAGAGTTTTGAGAACATTGCCACCAAAACAACACAGCTGGAACCACCGGCCTTCTGGAACATTAGAGCTCCTGAGAGAATTTGAAACAGTCATCAACATTTTTCTCTATTTTTGCAGGAAAATACTGGAAGTAAATAGGGGCATGGAATTCAACAGCTGGCTTGGAGTGTTTTACATTCAGTTGTTTGGAAGCATACTGATTCAGCTCCTTTGAATGTTCTCCTTAGAAAACACAGAATTGCTCTATCACCTCTTAAAGCACACTAAGACCAAAAAAAAAAAAAAAAAAAAGGTCATTTGAGGATAATATAGTTTTTGCATTAAAGGTCAATCTGCAACAAGAAATCTGTTCAACTCACAGATCTGGAGACTCATGGGGAAGATAAGCTGTAAGTGACCATTTGTCACTGAGATATGCAGGTGCTGAATTTCTTAGTAGATGCTGCCAGAGTAAACCAGATGTGGCTACTGGGCAGGGGGAGGAAAGAAATTAAATCTTGTCCTCTACATGCATAGTTGTTTTGGGGGTGATGCCCCAACTCTGGAAAAAAGATCAATTTCCACAACGAATTAATTAGGCAGCACTGCTCACTTTAAATAGTAGCTCATCTTTTTAAGCCAGTTCTTACCAATGACTTGAACTAAAAATTCAAACCACTGGGTCATGCAGTCAATAAGTTAAAACTATAACAATAAGTAAAAGGGCATAAGATATGAATGGAAAACAAACCCTATTTACCCGGGGAAGGGGGGTGGGGGCATTTAGTGTATTTTGTGTAGGATAAGGAACAGAGAAAAGAATATTTTTATTATGGCTTTAGGATGGAAGCGCTTCAGATAGTCCCCTACCCCCCCTTCCCCCAAATCAAAACCCCGGTGGCAGCGACAGAGCCAAGAAACAACCTAGCCTACCAGCCTTCCCCAACCCCTAACCGGGCCCCGTGGCTGCACTCCAATCGCCCGTGCTTCCCACGGCTCCGGAGGAAGCGGCTACAGCCCATTCCAGTAGATCCAACGCCCAGGCCTGGGGGTAGGGAGAGAGCCCTTATGGTGGGTCGCGGGCAGCGAGGCCCAGATGTGAAGAGGGCACGTCTTCAGCCCACAGCAACTAGGCACCAGCGGCTTCAAGGGAAGACTTTGGCACCTGGATAGGGCTCCCCCTCGCACCAGATGTCATCGGCTTGCGGGGTCTCCAGGAGCCACACCTCTCGGGGCAGGTCACAGGCCGCGCCGGAGGCCTCCTTGTCCCTGACGGGCTCCAGCACCCGGTAATAATGGCAGTCCCGGCCATCGTCCGGGTTATAGGGCGGGGCCAGAATGTCCAGGAAGGCGGCGGGTCCGTCCACAGCGTCGATCTGCTGCAGGTTGTCCTGGTGCGGAGTGAGGACGCAGGGGCCGCTGGCCTCGGTGTACTCGGCCCGCGAACGCAGCACGCCCGGCCGCACGGCGTCCCGCTCCCGGGCCTGCAGCGGTGGCTCGAACTGCTGCTCTGGCGGCGGGGCCCGCGGTTGTTGCCAGCCGCCCGCCTCCAGTTTGTCCATGCAGCTGATGCGCACGGTGCCATAGAGCGCCTTGAGCATGCCGTGCATGCCCGGGTGGTCGTGCAATGGGATGGACGTGCCGCTCTTGAGCAGGAACACGCCGAGGCTGAAGCCGTCGGTTTCGTAGATGTGCATGTAGGTGACCGGCGGCAGGTTGGGTGGCAATGGCTGCAGCGTGGCCTTACGCGGGGCGATGTTCAGGTCCTCGGCGCGGACTTGGGTCAGCAGGTTCTTCAGCTTGCTCAGGTTCTCCGGGAAGCCCTGAGGCATCGAGGCCTCGGGGCCCGGAGCCGCGCCGAGGTCGGAAGCGCTGCGGCCGCCCCCGCTGCCCCGGAAGGTGAGGCACGCCTGGCGGGCGATCCGTTGAATCAGGGAGGCCATGTTGTCTCGGGGCATGCTCGGCTGTTCCTCCGCGTGCCGAGGCCGGCCCCCGCCGCCCCCTGCTTTCCTCCGCCCCTTGCGGTCTCCGGCGGCCGCCAGGGCTGCCCGCAGCCCGGGGCGAAGCTAGAGGCCCTGCAAGTACCGGTCTTTCGGACGCGCGGCACCGCCACGGCCCAACATCCTCCCTTTTTAACTCCATTCTTGTGATCTCGTACCAAACACCGGTGTCACCTAAGTACCATGCCACTTTATCACGGAAGGAAGTCTTCCTTAATTTCAGTCTGCCCTAAATCAGTGTAACTGTTAGCTGGTCAGGCCACCTCACATAATCCCAGAGAATGGCTAATAAAAAACTCAACTAGAGTGGTTTATTCATATAGGGATTTGTTTACCTAAAGGAATAAGAATCCAAGGCTTGCTATAAGAAAGTAGGCATCCTTCGCTCCCCTGCTTCTTCATTCCTTAGTACTGATAGCTGCAGTTCCAAGCACTCTATGCATTCCAGATATAAAGAAATAGGAAGCTGAGAATTTCTATTTATCTAGATCTCATCTGCCAAACTGAGTCACATGGCCGGCCTTAACCACAAGGCAGTCTGGGAAGGGGAGATTTTTGGTTGGGGAAAGGGTAGCTGGAAGAAGGCTGGGATGGATGTTGAGTGTGCCCCTGACACAGATTCCAACTCCAAAGTCCTACCTCCCCTTTCTTATTCCTCCGTATGAGTTGTGGCCATTCTTTTTTTTTTTTTTTTTTGAGTTATGGTCTCTTTTTTCATATGTTTAAGGAACATTTATGTTTTTCTGTGA